CACAATTAGGCTATGTCTACACTGTCTTCTCTTGCTCAAGAAAATATGCAAATGAGGCAAAGCGGTGAATATCGCCGCGCTTCATTTGCATGCTTAATGAGCTGCCATTTTGTGCAAGGGGCTTTTGCACAAGAGCTATTCTGCTGCTTTTTTTCAGGAAGAATGGCTCTTGCGCAAGAGAGGGTTTTTGCTCAAAAAGGAGCAGTGTAAACAGGGGCAGTGTAGATGTAACCTATTATAGTTTAACCTAAATCAATACCATTATAGCAAAAGCCTTTGTATTCCTTCTGTGCCACTTTATAAGCAGTGAATTATAAATAAAGAGATGAGAAGTACAAACTGTACAGGGTATCTCCAAACTAACTCAGAACTCCTTTCTCTAGGTTTGGGTGAGCACAATTATCTGGTATCTTGAAACCACCTTTTCAGGATGTATTTTGCCATGTTTTAGCATGAGCTTCATTTTAATATAAAGATGGCTGTATGGACCATCTCCACTCCAGTGCCATCCCATAGCATTTCTGTTGCAGATGGGCTACATGGGAAAGTATTTAATATAATTTCTTTTACTGCAAATTAGCAGCTGAAAATAAAGAGGAGCTGGTACCAGAAGAGTGGGCAGCTTTCCATGGCCCACCAGCAAATGCCTCTCACGCTATTATTTGTAACTTCAGTTTTAAAAATATGAGCCCAATGAGGTACAGTTGCAACTAAGTAGCTCCCAGTTGTGAGTTGCACCCTGCTGCTACTGTACCTTAGATGCAAATTAATCTCTGAAATTAGAGGCATGGCATGTCATTTTCTGAGGACTCCACTAGAGCAGGATACAGTGAAACTTTTGGGGGTGCTGGAAAATCTGTACAGATGTTATGTTCCAATAAACCAGGTTCTAGCCTGTTCTTTTGGTAATAGTATGCCAGAAATAGCCTTTCAGCCTGTGATCTGACTAGGAGTTGTTTGCACTAAAGATTCCAGCCAGTGAAATGGTTGTAGCTGTGCCAGGAAGAGGTACAATTGATTGCCAGCTACAAGGACAAATGAAATGGACAATGCTGGACTCGCAACTGAGAATTTGTGAAGTTTCCCAAGGGACAATATGGAGCCAAGAATAAAGTCAGCCATTTTTAGACTAATTACATTAAATATCCCTAATGTCACTATTTTCAGTGACAGAAATTATGGTATATTTGCCTTGGAACACATTCACAAAAGTTAGCTTTGGGAGAGAAAGGGTAGTTCCTTTTCCATTCTTGTTCAGGCTTATGGGATCTTTGCTGAGGTTGTCCACATGAATGCCAGTTAGTGCAATGGATGCTTATCCACTGTGCCATGCCCCAATTCCTTTCATTTAAATTGCTGAAACAATTGTTCAGTGTCAAATGCTTTTGGCTATTACAATAAAATTAGGGATGCGAGAGGCTGAACATAAAAATGGCCATACTGGGTCAGACCAAAGGTCCATCCAGCCCAGTATCCTGTCTGCCAACAGTGGCCAATGCCAGATGCCCCAGATGGAGGGAACAACAGGTAGTCCCCATGTGATCCCTCCCCTGTCACCCACCTCCAGAGAAATAGAGGCTAGGGACAGACACCATTCCTACCTATCCTGGCTAATAGCCATTGATGGACCTAACCTCCATTAATCTATCTAGTTCTTTTTTGAACCCTGTTAAAGTCCTAGCCTTCACCACGTCTGGCAAGAAGTTCCACAGGTTAACTGTGTGCTGTGTGAAGAAAAACTTTATTTTGTTTGTTTGCCTATTAACTTCATTTTGTGAACCCGAGTTCTTATATTGTGAGAATAAGTAAATAACTTTTTCTTATTCATTTTTTCCATGCCGGTCAGGATTTTATAGACCTCTATCATATGCCCCCTTAGTCTCCTCTTTTCTAAGCTGAAAAGTCCAAGCTTTTTTAATCTCTCTTCATAGGGAACCTGTTCCAAACCCCTCATCATTTTTGTTGCCTTTTTCTATTGATCAGTTAACTGGTGGAGGCTGGAGATGCTCCAGCCCCATGGCGGGGAGGGCCGGGGGGATGCTGCAGACAGGAGGTATTCCTGTTGTCTGGAGCATCCCTGTCTGAGGTGGGCCTGGGCATCCTGTAGGGAGGGGCTGTTCCACTGGCACAGCCTCTGTCCACAGGGAACCCAGGCACCCAGCAGGCAGGGCCTGCTCTTGCTGGGCTGGAGCAGCACCTGCCTGTGGCGCAAGGGGGGGGGGGGAAGGAAGGGAAGAGGATTGTTCCAGCATGGCCTCAGCAGGCGAGGGGGGTGGCACTCCAGCCCTGTCCATCCCCTTTTTAATCACTTTACTGGTTAAATATGAAGTTTAACCAGTTAACCAATTAAACAGGATTTTACATCCCTAAATACAACAGTAACCTGAGCCTGAACTGGTGACCTATGGATGAAGCACCCTATATCATGTTTCAAGTCCTCCCAGACATAATGGGGGCAGAAGGAAAACAGTGAAAATATTTGATTTTATCTTTCTATAAAAAGTACATTGACCAAATACTGTGGTACATCCAGATTTGCTTATTTTAAATAAGCCCCTTTTTTGAAAAGGACCTTCCATTGGTTGATTAGCAGAACTGTGGAGCTCATTTTCTAACTGCCCCTTCTTGCTTATACTATTTGCCCCCATTTTCAGCCATCAGTGGCCAGATACTGCTGATATGATACAAACCCCTATATGTACTGACGGCATTTACTCCAGTTTAATATGCTTTCCTTAACTACACAAATGTGTACTGCTGCTCTACCAGTGGCTGCTAGCCTATAAATAGGCAAATCCTCAGTGCAGACAAGGGCTAACTGTGAGTGTCCATAGTTGGTTTTACAATATTGATGCTTGCTAAAACTTTTGGTATACTTGCAAAACTAAAAATAGAAATATTCACGCTACTTTACTCCCAAGAGACTTGGAGTGGGATTGTCAAAGCATCTAAGTGTCACAGAAGCACACTTCTCCTTGGCTTTCAATACAACTTCATAAATCCTGCTGTTTATCTTTTTAAATATATATATATATATACACACACATTTTTCTGCTATGAAAACCTTACATCAAAATTTAAGTCAAAGCGAGGCAATAACACTCTGCTATAGTGCAAAACAACAGGACACGTTCAGCATGGGAGGTTTAAGTAGGACTTTGGGAAAAATTTCCTGTCAGGGTGGTTAAGCCCTGGAATAAATTGCCTACGGAGCATGTGGAATTTCTCATCATTGGTGATTTTTAAGAGCTGGCTTGACAAACACCTACATGAATAGTTGCTGCAGCTTGGACTGTGGGGGTATGTCTAGACTACATGGCTCCGTCGACGGAGATTAAATAATCCCCGCTTCATTAAAATAAATATGGCCGCCGCGCTGTGCTGACGATCAGCTGATCTGGCACAGCGTGGCAGTCTAGACACAGATCTGTCAGCTGGGGAAGCCTTTGCCGACCGATCCCTTATGCCTGGCTTCCCCAGCTGACAGATCCACGTCTAGACTGCTGCGTTGTGCCACATCAGCTGATCGTCGGCACAGTGCGGCAGCCATGTTTATTTTAAGGAAGCGGGGATTATTTAAATCCCCGCTTCTTTGCCTATGCCGAGTAAACTAGTTTACATGGCTCCATCGACGGAGCCATGTAGTCTAGACATACCCTGGGAGGCAGGACCCCAGCACCACCTAAAGTCTTTCTCCCTTTGCTGAGGCCCCACCTTGGACAGGGAGGGGAGGAGGCAGGGCAGCATGCTGATCATGCCCGCCTCCGAGAGGGGAGGAGGTGGGGGCAGCACGCCATGTGCCCCAGCCTCCTCAGAGTACTGGGGCAGGGAAGAGAGGTGATGGAGTGCATACATGCAGCGCAGCTCCCCCGCCTCCCTGGAGCACTGGGGGAGGGGGAGAAAGACAAGGGAGCACATGTGTGCAGCATGGCTCCCCTTGGGGCCCCCCTCCCCCGCCTCCC